GCTTTTGAAAGTATCGAGACTGTCGGCGACCGCGGTCACCACCCAGTACAAAGAAATTAGAAGAAACGACCGAACGCGGAAGTATGAACCTCCTCACCGTACTACACTTGGCCTTTCGCTAAATCCCAAGGGTTATCTGTTTCTATATCCTAACATTAACCGTCACACTAACCCTTTAACCTGCACACTAATCATAGCTGCAACCTTAACATTCCTAATTTGAACACTAATCCGAACCCTAATAAACCATCAACTTACCACAAAGCCACCTGTAATCTTGGGTCCAAATTCCCTTGCCCAAGCAAGAAATCTAGGTATTTGTCGTTAAAAAATATCTTCCAGCTGGTCGAACCTAGAAATATGGCCCCAATTACCTGAAAAATGTCCGGTTGTGGTGACAGTGACTACCAGGAGCGTAGTTAACCAACAATTCATTTTTCCTGGCTGGTAGCTCCGTTAGCTCGAGCACGGCTAATGTCCCTTCTTGCGGACCCGGTAACGTGGAGCATTGATAAATGCCCACTGCGGGTGGGCATCGCTATGGTTTCATCGCTAGACTGCCAATTGACTGGTTCCCTTCAACTGTCATTAAATAGATGGTATTGTGGTACATAAGGCCATAAACTGACTGATCCTATTGTTATCTTAAAATGATATTTGGAATGACTGCGCAAAACATACATCTAAAATATTTAGCTTTTAAGGCTGTCATTCCGAAATTTCTGCCTTTTCGCTATTTACCTACTACAGTAATCTGGTTTCCTAACTGTTTCGGCAAAATGATCCTTTTTAAAATAACATATCTGCCTTGGAATTCCGAAGACCATTCAACTAATGTAAAAAAGGATTGTATGCTGAGTAGAAGGTGTATGAACTATTTAGGACACGTTAGACTAGAAAAGTAAGGGCAGCAAGCGGTCGACGTCATACTGGGGATGAAAATTTCGTCGTTTCATACCAAAATCGGGTAAATTAAAGCCTAGTCCCATAATAATAGAAAGGCCACCCATGAGAGGATTTAAAAAAATTCAAGGGATAACACATGATTTAACTGTATGAAAGAAGTACTCAGGTCTGGCATTTTTCAGTTTTTTACTCAACTTTTTGATTTTATATACAATGGATTGCCTAACTCATAAAATATGCCTAAATAGGCCTCTGAGTCATTTATTTTCGACTTATATCCAGCTTCACTCTTTAAATTTTTGACTGCCGCTACTGAAAGTGAATCTCATTTCTTACTTTTCATTCTCGCGCAGTTCCGCCTTTCAAAATGTCTGATGAAAAGTCATGGTTTCTTTGCTTAACTACAGAAAACATAAAGCAGTTGGCATTTCTCATGAAACCGAGATTCAGAAATATGTTTTCGATTAAAAAGGAAGACTCAGTTAGAATTTTAATATTGACTATCATGCAGCAAAATACCAAGATATTTTATTCATTGCCTAATTCTGGATTTTGAACGAGCTTCTTTCCGGTTGTCGGCAAAACTGTAGTCAGCAAGAATGAACGTTTTTGTGGACTTTTGATGGTTTTTTACAATTATGTAGATGGTCCGCTGGAACCGACAAAGACAAAGGAGATCTGAATGGTACTTTCTGGTCCCTTAGCCGTCACATTCATCATGCAACTGCTTGGGTGAGCTCAAGAGTGAGCTACAAGGCACAGCGGGACCATTCTGTTCCCTAGCAAGCTCGATGAGCGTCATACTCGCAACTTAATATATTCAGTAGAAAACATGCTCTAATATACGGCCCTTTTATACTGATTTGGGTAAAAGATTATGTCCTCTTTGAACATTTTACTGGGATAAAGATTGTCTTTCGGTTTTGAAAAGGTTATATTTGTAAGCTTCTTTACCACCATGAGATATTTATTCATACAATATTGTATCTGTCCGTTTACTAATACTGCTTAAAAAGCGCAGAACATGGCACAGTTATTGTAGAATTTTATTATACCTATTTGACAGCCTAGGGAGAGGTACGCCTTCTTTTACCCGGAAAATCTACGGCATACAATTTGTAACTTCCCTTAGCAAATGGAATTAAAAATTATTTGGGTAGTGACGCAGTTGCTGAACCAAAATATACTCTTCTTTAAAATTAAAAATTAGAAGGAAACTTAATTTGCCCCCAAAAGCCTACAGGAAAGGACAATTAATGTGGTTATTTTCTGGTTATTTTAAGTTTGTTTTTTTTCATGAGAATATCATTTTTTCTATATCCGAATTGAAAACATAGAAAGCCAACCAGTCGATAAGATACTGGACTAGTAATCACCTCATGTTATTTGCAAGATTCAAGGAAAAGTAAATAATCCGTTGTCATAACTCTAATCTTAGCGCTTACTCTAGCTCTAGATCTACCCCTATGTCTAGCTCTCATTCCTCACCGTACCCCCAAATGTGGCCTCAACACTAGTCTTATTCTGAATACTAACAACAAACTTTCTATGACAGTAGCTGTAACTCCAAACATTCCCCCCAAAACTTAACACTAGACCATTGTGCGACGCTCCCGAAAAAGGGCGTTCTTATTCATGTGTTTTACCGGCTGTTCATAAGAGACTAAAATCTATCTATGTTAAGTATGGTTTGCAGTTTATAACCTTAATTTTAGACCCGCATTTTTCTTCTTAAAAGGAAAATCACTTCTTAGGAGTATCATAAGGGAAATTAACCCCCCACACAAAAAAAATGCTGATTAAAATTATGGAGCATTATCCCAAACACGATTATTAATTTGTTTTTGGAAAAGAGAGTCAAAACGATCTGGGGATTGAGTGCAAACTGTTCGAATTGAAAAAAAGTCATCAGACCTCATTTGATCCTTGCTTGAGTGAGCATGCGCTAGATTGTTTGGACGCCTTAATTTACTAGTAAGGTCTGCACTCCTATTTTCTGTGAGCTGATGGAAGAATTTCATTTTCAGGCGATAGTAAATTCAAGTTGTTCTGCCAACGTTTCGAATGCTTTCGGGCGTGTTAGGCATCACTTAATGGTAGAAATAGTCGGCGTTCAGCGTTTGCGTAGTTTTCCACTCCATATGGACTAACAGCCCACGCATTAACATTACTCATGTTCTCATCTTTTTTCATTTAAGGCAGCCGCTGTCCTCTCGATATCTGATTAAGTCAATCAGATCTGTGGGCAAATGCATTGTGCATTTTGCGCGCACAGAAAAATTCTCCGGTTATGTTCGCTTGTTGCCGGCAATGCAGGAACGGTGGCAGCGATGGCTTACACAGTCGTAAATTATTTTTTACACAGTCCTCCGGCGGTTGCCAGGAGCTTCAAACACTGCAATAAAAGCAGCCTAATTGCTGCTGCGCAAATATAATAACATACTTGAGAACATACAGAATTCCTTTAGCCATACTATCTTTACGGGCAGTAGGCGATAGTTCTGAATCTAGTGCTGAATAGACGAGCCAGAAACCTTGTAAATATAAGGTGGGAACTATACAAATTGCATAAGAGAACAGGTGACCGACCGAAAGGTCAGCCGTCGAAAGTTACGGCGTCTACCACACGCCCCTAGGGAGTGGGTGACGTTTCGGCATCTTCCACTGGAATAACTTTTGAAATGAGACAGGCTTGTTCAATATTTACGACTTTTAATCTCCTCCTTTGTTCCTCGGCAAGCAAACGTCAAGACGAGTGTAGGCGAACTGGCTGACAAAGCTACACAATCCACATACCCATACGCTATAAATATTGAGCCACAGACTCGTCGCATTGCCGATTCACATCGGGAGATATTGGCACTTTTCGATTAACTTTCACCAACATTCGCTAACAGAACTCATTCATTCCGCTCTGCAGCCGCACAGCGGGCGGTTCAATGGTTAGAACGTGAGACTTGTGATTAAAAAGTCGCGAGTTTGAGCCCCGAGTGCTGCACGGCCTGGGGTTGTGTAGGACTGGCTGACTGAGCCAGAAGTGGTCACTCCAGTTTTCCTGGTCTTTGCCGGCAGCATTGCGCAGACTACTATCCGCTGTGCGGCTATTGACGGGGTTCGGAATCGAGACCCAAGACATAACGGGACGAGTGAGTTCTATTAGCGATGGGTGAACGGTACTCAACGAGTGCTACCCTTTTTTCACTAACTAACCTGGAGTCGGTAATACCACAAAGCTAGGAGGGCCGGAGACAGGCTCAGGTGCGCTTGTTGACAACTTTAAATTGCTCGCCTACGTGTGCTATAACACAGCTCGTCTGGGGGACATTAATGGGGTAGGCAATGTGTAACTTACATCCAGTTCAGCATCGCCCAAAACACGTTGGCACTAGTAAACAGTTTGTAAATAATCGAAAGTGCACAATGCAGAATGGGGCCAATCAACGCACAACAAGCTATCGGTTTTGGCCAAAGTTGAAGCCCTAGTTCTGTCCCCTCCCCATTCCACGCAGCGTCTGCCCCCAAGAAGTCTCCAATTTTGTGCCACGGATAATGTCGTACTCTTGTGAGTTCTTATAACTGATTGATTTAACTGAGAGGGAGACATGTATGCGCTTTTTTAAAACGGGGCCAGCAAAAATGCAGGCTATCTTCTCGGGTTTGTCGATCTGAATCCGAATTGGCGTCAATCAGTGGCTAAAGTAAGCGGTATGATGACTCCAACGCACAAATTATCTTCACAATTTGAAACAATCTAGTCCTCCCAATCAATCTATGGCTACAACACATAGCTGACGGAAAGTAATGAACTACATCCCAGCATAGGCACCCACAAAAAACCTCTGTCGACTACCTCGCAATCAACTGGCCATTCGACAAATAAAGAACTACTGGTATACACATCAAATCCTCTACCTCAATCATTCCTGTTGTACGATGTCCTCAGGTTATCTTAACTGGAGTTCTGTGGCATTTCCGCCACACTCTTATTTCTGGGGACATCTGGTCCAGTGTGTGGGACTAGTTCGTGCGTGGCACGCGTAGATAGACCGGCATATCAACCAGAAAGCAGATAGGGAAAGCTAGGGTGACCCACTGATGAGCCGGAGCCCTCGCAGCTGTGTCAAGCAGCGGCAG